AATGGTGGTATTCCAAAAGGTATTTTGAGGACAATAAACTAAATACCTCTGCAGGACTACAGTCACTCAGTTAATGTTCCCATAGCTCCGACATGCTTTTTCTTTTAACACAAAATATTATTTGTAATTACAAGTGGAATTTGCTAATAAACATGGTTGATAATGAAATATAATAACACGCAAAATTAGCTTGTTCACAAAATTTTTAAAAACAGTTTTTCTGATAGACTGCATTTTAGAGACATAAGTATATTTTGACAACTACTTTCTGGAAACAAAGATATTAGGTGCCCTTAAAGAAATGTTCTGAATGCTTTAAAACATCCCAAGGTTTAAAATAATTTGTTTTACTTTTAGCAGGAACCAAACATAAAAGGGAAGGGGGGATTATGCAAATCAAACAAGAAGGACATGCGGATGCTACGAGGAGCAAGCCCAAGAGGCCACGCACTCTCTTTATGGGGCAATTTGCTGGCCTGACATGCCAAAATAGAGTGATATCAATGTAACCCCCCCACTGTGGAAACACTATTCCAGAATAAAAGGAAATAAGGGTACCCCACTCAAAGACTGACTCAAGCATAAGTATAGCAGAGTAAGTATTTTGTTAGAGCTACACTGTATTGATAAAGCCCTCAGTCCAATCTTTGCACAGAGGAAATTATCTTTTTGATCCAAGATACGACAGCATCTAACAAATATATGGTAATGTTGAGAATACTCAATGCCCACATAGGCCCAGACAATGTAAAACTAGTTGTTTTCTCCTTTGTTCTGCTATGGCTATAAAATACACTTTGGGGTTTTTTTCCCTCTCAACATTTTTAAACATAACAAAGAAAAACAACTGTTTCAAAATTTTTCACACTAAGGGGAACATTATTATATGACATTCTTTCCTAGAAAGCTTTTAAGTCTTATTTATTAACAGGATTAATCTGATCATAAGCTGGCTGACACACGAAGTGTTGAAATATGTCATCTTCAAACCATGCTTTGCTAATGAAATTTTGGTGTTAATTCAGGGGATATAACAGAATCCTAGAATCTGCAGTATGAGCCAAACAACAAATGTGGTTCCTCTGGCAAAAAAAGCATCATTTTCTCCCTTTTCTGTTGTGGGTTTGTCACTGCGTGCTCTCCATCATCCATTTCTTTCCAGAATCTACTTTTTGATGTGGAGTCCCCGCTTGGCCATCAACTTCTACATTAAAATGCTCTGAACATGTTTTGCGGTTCCAATCCCAGGAACTGTTTGCACTTTCAATCCCAGAATCCAAAAGGATTTAATAAAAAAAAAACACTAAGGCTAGGATTTCATAAATAACCTCAAGGTATCTCTACAATGCAATCAATTTTATGCTAGTGCCAAGTCCACCAGTAACCACTGCCAAAAGCAGCAGCAAAGTTAGGTAAAAGCTCTGACCATTTGACTGTATTGAGCTCCAGGTTGTTGTGGCTAAATTGCTATCGGGATGCAAGAAAGCTAGTTTAAATTTAGCCTTAATAAGTTTACACTACACTTCAATGACCAATGTAGCTCCTGCATAGACATTCTCAGGAGTTCAGCACCCAAATCCTTACTGGAGGGTGCCTTCTGAAATCCCAGTCTAAAGCATCACAAATGGGTTAACAGACATGGCAATTTAAGCAGCTTTTCCAAGCATATGCAGGGCTTTAATATAATTGTGTTATCAACTAATCCTATGGTCTAAACCAATGGTTCCCGATCTTTGAAGTGTAAGCACATCACAGGAGAGGCATGGCACAGAGACCAGGTGAGCTTTGCTGGATTTAACCCGTGCCAGGCCAATTGCAGTGTCCTTGTACTCTGCTCCAAAGAACGCAAGTCCTGGTAAGTTCAAAGCAAAGATATTTACGCGGGCACTGAAGGGTGAGCTGTGCTTTGGGGATTGCTCTCTGTGCCAACACTGTCCTAATCCCAACAGGCTCAAACTCAACAGCAGCAAAAAGGCAGCGAGAGGAGTCACTCAGTTGTTCAACGCCTTGTCAGACCACTGCTTCTTAGGTCTTTGCTATCAGACATTGCAACTTGATGGCATCCAAACTGGTTACCTTATAAGCCACAAGAAAGGAATGTCATGAGCCAAAATTTTATCCTGATTTTATGACTCTGACGGCACAATGTTTGACTTGCCTTTAGGCCAGACAAATCACGGTGTAACACAGAATGCCAAGTACTTTAAGCATTTGTCTCAAACTGACCCAAATTAAGGCCATCTGAAGCCAAAAAGGGTTGTTCAGATTGGGTTTTCGGGTTGCTCAGATTGGGTTTTTAGGTTGTCAAAAGCAGCAAAATGTTCTTAAAAGTTTCATTTATTCTTTCTCACTAATATTTAAGATAGTATTAAAAAAAATAATCAAGATTAAGGAGATAGAAACAATTGTGAAATAATAACAACTTAGAAATCTTTAACCAGCAAAGAGAGTCGGGAATTTGAATTAACATCAAAATCATGTATTATGGCATCCACATCTGGATATCACTTTACTGACTAAATCCAAAACTTCTCTGAGAGCCAGTTGGTTTCTGTAAAAATGTATTTCTCCCTTTGAAAGGAAATAATAATTGGAAGGTCTTACAGGAAGTCACCCAATACCATATAAAGGAAATTGCAATCTGTTCCTCAATGTTAGTTTAAATCAATGTTATATTTAGCAAATGCCCACTTTTTAACGATAGTCTTTTTAATAGCTTATACTATATTAAGTCTTCTCAAAGGCTTATGCTATATTAAGAATTGCTTTGGTTTTAGAATGTTTCTTTAATCATCCCTCAAGTTCTTCAGCTTGCCCTAGGTTAGATGTTGTTCCCCATCTCCAGGACATCTAGGATTCCACTTCACCAAAACCAAGTTTTTTTGACCCAGGCTAATAAAAAGCAAAGTATTTCTGCATATGCTCGTCTAGAAGTATGTGTGGTTCTTAAAAATACTAAGTGATCGAATGTTAAAAACACTTATTTCTGTTTCCAGAAGCATACACAGTGGTTTACCTTCCTAAGAATTTTCTGTTTGAGTATCTGGCTTTCAGTAAATTTCCATTAAATCAGTGGTTTCAGAAGAAGATTTTTTTAAAAGAACAATATTAATGATACTAAAAAAAGTTAAAGAACTCCAAGAGTAATAGCTCCTGCAATTTCTTCCCCAAATTGAACAAATCTTACAAAACATACTCGCAGCACCACTGCTAAAAATCTCTCTGGGACACTGCTCAGACACCCTGTGCAGAATTCCCCGGTGGGTTTTATGTGTTTCATTACGTTGCGAGGTAACACCACCAAAATTAAGTTTATAATAGCTGAACATAGATTTACATGGAGAAGGATTTCACACAACCTATAATCATTAGTGTTCAAAAACTATTGTCACCAACAGCTGAATATTATTTCCACTGAACGTAACTTAGTTTAAAAGTGAATCCATAAATTCAACAATAGCATTTGCACTAGGTGCTAAGAAAAAAAGCTGGTAAACAGTCCAAAACATGTTTTTCAAATATATAACTCAAGAAGGTATCATGCACGATAACTTGAATTACAGCATATTTCTGACTACATGGAAGACTACTCCACTGTCACAGTGTTTCTCTATATCTAGATGGCCACTGAAAAAGTGGAGAACTACAAATAGTACATTTTCCCAAGTGGCAAAAATCCACTTGTACCCCCAAATAATGTGAATTAACTACGTGCTATTTGCAGAGCCTAGTAAGATTAAAAACTACCTCTGGTGATTCAATTTGGATAACAGATTATAGCCAACATTTTTATGGTTATACCTTTGGCACAAGAGACTAAAGAATGATCAGAAAGAAAATTCTGTTTCTCAACAAACACACCAATAAAGGCAGACATTTTCCTTCAGAAAAAAAACCAATCATTAAACAATTTATGAAAGAAGGGAAAAAGAACACTGCAGATGATGAGATAGCAATGTCAACCTAATTTCATTATGCAAATCATTCAAATATAGAGGAAAACATTAACTGTACCACAACTGAACATCAGATAGTTCCAATATATAAAAACTCCCATGGTTTCCTTTCAAGCACAAAAAGTAAGACAAACTGTTGGAGTCCATTTTTTCATGAGCTTCTAGATTTAACAATGTAATTCTTTGGGACTAGTAAAGGTCTTTATGAAGAAAAAAAGAGGAATTTCCTTCTTCTATACAACTTTTAATGAAGTGTTTTCATTGTCAACCCTAGCAGATTACATAGTTTCAAAAATTTTCCATTGCTCTTTACTACTCTGAAAGGAAAAATATTTTAAAAATAATTCTGCTTGCCTCTGCAGGTGGGATGCTCTGCAGCCGCTTTGAATCAAGGTGTCAAAGCAGCAAGGAACAGAGTCTGAATATTCAGAACCTGTGGTCTCTTAAAGCTTCTTTGAAAAAGGCCACAGAATGCAACTCGGATACAAAATATGTAGGAATCTAATGAAAAAAAGTTACAAATAACAAATACTTCATTCCATTCACATTCAACACAGATTTTGCATTTAGTTTTCAATGGAACCCAAGAACGTACTTTCCTTCATTGCACCCTTAAACATAAAAGTTGAGAATGTCTTGTGAAAATCAAGCTAAAGCCCACGCCATACTACTGGCTCTCCGGTGGTGCAACTCGGCTCTCCTATTTTTCACCTTTTTTTTCAAGTACCAAAAGTACTATATAAAGGTGCTGAAAAGATGTTAAAATATCTGAGTTGGTATTAAAAGAAAGAGAACAGGAAAGTTTCAAGTATTTGACTGAAGTGGATGGATTAGACTTGCCAAAACCAAACGTTTTGTGCAGGCTTATGATCAGCTAGAGGAAAGAGAGCCTGAGTCATCAGATACTTCAAAGTCAAGGTCCAGTGAATAGAATTAGTGAGCGCTGTGTGAACAGGAACGATACCTGCATTCATCTGCCCACTGCAGAACTTTTAATTACACTCAAACAGCCAGTAGCACCAGTGACTAAAATCCCCAGATTACCTTGATTGCTCTGTCATTATCTGCAATCAGCTGCTGCTTCGCATCTTCAAACTTTTGTATAACTTCCTGGAGCCGCTGCTCTGCGGCAAGCTGCTGCCGGCTGTTCTCCTCTGACAGAGAGGAAATGGTTGTCTTAAGTTCAGCTATGATCTGAAAAGAAAACAGCATGCTAAATCTCTCTTCAGTAAAAGGCATGTATTTTGCATGTTTTTATGCTCAGTATGAGCATGGCATTGGCAAAGTCTGCTGTGCAAGCTAAATATTTTAAATTAACATATTACACACTAGCAAGCATGAAATTCCACACAGAGAAGAGAAATATAGTAAGGCTGCGAATGACAAAAATTGCTGAACACAAAATGTTTGGAAGGGTTTTCCACTATGACATTCCAAAATATTTACTCATGAGAACAAAGCACATCTGTGATCTTCAAAATAGAGCATGTTTCCAGTCTTCCACTGCACTGAAACCAGTAGTGCAAATTTACATAGTGATGGAGGTGGTCCTTTTCTAGAAGGATACTTTAGAGCTTGATACTGCAGAGAAGAAAAACACCCAAATTTACATACTGGACTGAAATTTAAACTTGATAGTGAAATTTCTGAGCTGCTGAAAAGAGCATATTCTGCTTAGCACTACAGCGAGGACTTGATTCAATGTCCAGGACCCTTAAACTAGACCTTTTATATGATTTGCTCATAATTTGTCAAAATGTACTTGTTTCACCTTTTTTATCACTGTGGAAAGCCATAACTAAACCTGATCCTTTAGGCATATTTACAGAGTTTTACGCTGACATGTCATCACCCAGCAAAGCTCTTAAACATATGGGACAGTCACTGACTTCAATGTACATATTCGAGCTTAAGGTTAAGCTGCTGTAGCAGCATAATATAGTCTAACTCTACAAACACTTTAGCACACAGGCAGGTCAGGGAGGGACTACCAGAGTGCTCAGACTTGTGTGTTTGCAAGGCCTCCTCATTGGCAGAGAAACGTTTAACTATATTAAGGCCACAGTTATTTAAGAAAAAAATACTTTAAAAAAACTACTAATAGGACAGGACCAACATAATAAGAAATGTGCTACAAATGAAGGTACTAGATTGACCACTGGGGAAGGGGAAAAGGACTGATTAAAACTCTACTGTAAATTTATTTCTCTGTTTTACTACCTGAAAATCCCTGACAGTAACACAGATTATGGGTAAAGCCTACATGGATATTTCTGTGTTTCTTTTCTAAAAATAAATACACATTAAAAAAGATAACACACCAGTGAGAAGGAAGGCTATTTGTTCTTCATGAGATCAATGGGCCCAAATTTAGAGATTAACTGGATAGGTGTAACTCTTTAGGCAGAATTAAGCAGTATCTCTGGGTTTGCAATTTAGGTCATCATTCAGATGATACACAATTTGCACAAATTTGGCTTTGCTCAGTGTGTAACACGTGCAGTGAGAAAGCAGGAGAAAGCGATGGATCATATAAATTATTAAGATAACTTAAAGCCATGCAAACCTGTACCACTTATGTGTATGTTCCATTTTGTCACTTTTTAAAAAGAAAACAAAATAACAAACCCTTTAATATAACACAAAAGTGAGATTTAAAGCTTTTACTGGGTTAAGACCCTGGGCTAGCATAGGAGTTCTGAAATGCATGCATGGAAATTTCAGCATGAATTGATGGAGAAAGATTTGCTTTCTACAGTACTTTTCAGTGGAAAAAAAAAAATCTGTTTACTTTGTATAAACTTCAGAGGAAATTTCTTGAAATATCTTCTCTGTGTGGGTGTTAAAAGTGAATGTTCCAAGAGGCCATAGAGAGTAAGATTAGACAGATGTTGTCAGCAACATGACCACAAGAAAAGTTGCAATTGACCTATTATTAATACTGAGCTACAAACCCCCACTATGTTCAAGTAACTTTAGGGATTTCATTCAAACCCACAAAAGTAAAGAAATTCAGACATCAGGGTGAAACTCCTGACATATGAGGCATGTGTTGTGTCTGCCACAGAAAGCACAGAGGAATGCCAGTTCTGCTCATTGGGTCCATCGCTCCCCAGTAAAGAGAACTATTAGCTACAGCAATGCCTAGCTTAAAAAAAAAGTCTCAAAATTTTTCCATTTTGAGACCTCTACAGGCCAATAAGTTTCAGTTTGACCAAACTGATTATGACATTTAGGTTAAATAGTTATTACCTTGCACTACACTACCTAGGTGTCCCCACTGTAACAATTAAAGCAATTTCCCTCACCGCTTATTTAAAAATTCAGAAATGCTTACATTATTCCAACTCTCTTTAACGAATGGTCCAAGACCCATTTTTGTATTGACAGTAAACTGTCTGGCATAGAGAGGCTGACTTTTGATTACACTCACTAGGCACACCAATAGCATAAAAATGACAATGACAAAAGGTAAAATAGAGTTAGCAACGAAAGGGATCTCTTCCTTAAGGTCTGGCATTCATTAAACGTTACTTTTTCAGCTTTATCGATTTTCTGCTATTCGAGTTCAGATGGCAAGATAAAAAAATAAGGGTTTTTTTGTTGTTCTTTCTTTCTTTAAAAATAAGTCTCTCAACAAGTTACTAAAAAGGCATTTGTGAGAGCCTTCTCTCTGATTTATCACAGAATCGTGGAATTGGTGCAGGTGGAAGGGATCAGCTCAAAGCAGGGTCAAGCAGAGCTGGTTGCTCAGGATCATGTCCAGTCAGATTTTGAGTATCTCCAAGGATGGATACCCCACAACCTCTCTGTACGCAAATAAACATGCAGAAAATACACATTAGGCTTTAGAAATAGAATGTAAAAACATTTACCAATGATTCTGATAAATGCAGTCTCAAAAAATGTAGCGTGAAGAACTGCTAGTCCAATAAATTTCACTGTCACAATTTTGGACAAGTGTTACAGAGAATGAGACTCAAAGGTAGCTGAAAAGCTGAAATGTAGTTTTAAAAAATATTTTAAAGTGTTGGTAAAACAGTAAAGTTCACAGTTTCTGTTATTGTCTCACTGATCACTTCTGCCTAGTTTATAGGCCTCTAAACCATTTTTTGTAGAGCTTTTATTGATTTTAAGAGAGTATTATTAGACTATTATTACATTGCTGAAAACACACTTTGCAAGTAAAAGGCGGGCATTCTGCTGTGGTTGGGAGGAATGAGAAGAATGGCACCTCCATATATATATCCTCGTGGCAATTTTCTTATTAAAAGCTTAACTTCTGGTTGCATCTCCATCATTTTTCACACTTCAGTACTACCTGTCAATCAAACTGAAAGCTGAAATATTTAAAAATCATCCTGTCTTATTGTTTTTATGTACATATGTAAATTCAACACACATTTTCATCTTCCACGTTCAAAGGACTACTCTGAAGAACAAAAACTCGTCAAAACCAGTTTGCTTTCAGGACACTGACATGTTTTGAAGTGTTGCTTTGGGCAGAAGTGCTGAACTGGCTAGGTGCAATGACAAACATCAAGATGGCACAGTTGGGACTGTCGTCCTGCCATCGGCTGTGCAGGCAAACGCCACCTTGTAACGTGAAATGTAAGTCCTGGTTGTGCAAGTACTCCTGATTTTAGGAGATGTGCTGGTTGATGAGGCACCTCACCTTCCCTTCCCGCTGACTGAGGGAGGACTCAGTCCTCTTGGGCCCTCAGGAGATAAAAAAAGTAGATGAAAAAGATGACGTTTAGAACCTGAAAAAAACCCACCCGTTTTTTCTAGTCAGCTTAATGCTCTGTGTTTCTTGAAAGGTTAAAATCTGCAAGAAAGACACTGGATGTTTGATTCGGGAAATGGTTATGGCTTCTCTTGATCGTCAAGACCTACACTTAAGAGCAGAAGTAATTACACTTTTCATCAAGTTTCCAAATCAAATGGATTCACCGGAGGTTCCTGTCTTCTCGCTACCTACCTGAGAGGATTTAGCCAGCTTCTGACCATACTCCTTTTCAGTCTGTTTCAGCTGGCTGTTTGCCTGAAACACACACAAAACACAACCAGATTAGCTCAGATGAAGAACGTGTACAGACACTTTGCCACCGACCCCTCCGCTTGGCACCTCATCCACATGCCTATCGCTGAGCGGCTGGGATCCGTGCCAGCTCCAACGCCCTTTTGTGGCAGCCAAAAATCCGCAAGGGCTTGCCTTTGATCTCAGGCCAAGTATTCATCACTTAAAAGAGGGGAGAAATTGTACCTCTGCTGCCAATTATTAGAAAAACATAAAGACTTCTGTGGATTTAAAAAATAAAAAAAAAAAAGAGTGAGTGAGCGTGTGTGTGTGTGGCAGAGGAAGGAGGCAACACAGAGGAGTTTATCAGGGTGACTTCGTTTCTGAACAGATGGAAAAGGCAAGGAGAAAGTCCCAGGCACAGGCTGCCAGGGTACAACGTGACATGGAGGACACAACTTTGTGTCTCAGCTTGGTGTCTGCAACTGCCTTTTGTCCCATTGCACGTCCCTTCTTATTTAAAGGGGGTGATTACACTGGAATCGACTGAGCATGCAGCTGAACCAATCGGCAGCTTTTGGACATAGAGCTCTTTCCTTCTACTAGCATGGTTTTTTTCACAACTCAAAGAATAAAACAAACTGAAAACAAGGCTGCTTTTTCATATTGGAATCCAATAAGCAAATATTGCTATAACTCTAAGGAAAAATAGCTCTTAAGGTTTTTTCCCCTCAAATAATTTAATTTCAGAAATAATTCAATAATAATTAAAAAATAAATTCTATTTAATTTCAGGAAACAATTCTGATTTGTATTTTTCTTGTGAAGTGCCATGGTATTATATTGATAGCCCAGCCTCAAAACGCTGACCTCAGATGAACTGCTAAGTGCTCTCGTGTTCTTGGCTCTAAAATTTGAGGACAGGTGCCTAAGAAAAATATTTTCTTAGGGGGACAGAATATTACGACGTTGAGTTCTGAAGCAAATTTAAGCTGATTAAGTTTTCAAAATCTATCTGACCTCATGTTTTAATCTTTGATCTGTCATCCTTAGTTTTACGGCACAGCATCCAGCACACAAACATGTGCTCCTTCAGCTGCCGGTGTGCCAGCGTGTGTTTTGGGGGACCACAGAAGTTATGAGGGCCCCCCCAAAGCCTCTGAACCCCACTTGGATCCAGTTGAAAGACTGAAACTCCATTTCTGCAAACACCAGGGATTTCAGTCAAGCAAATAGTCTTATCGATTTTACTGGACTATAAATTTCAGAGCTTAAAGTTGCAGAGAGTGTTTGTGAATCACCACCAAGCATGATAGGACTCAAATCATCCTATACAATCCAGGCAGTTACGTATAGTGCAGCTTAATATAAGTATATTATAGCCAGTTAAAAATAATCTTAAAGTTTACATGATACTGCAATTTACAACCTTGAATCCCTTCAAATACCAAGATTATGAAACATATGGAGGTCTATACTTCATCTGTTTGTCAGTACTAAGAAATCTACCAAAAAAGTTAATCAAAACCAACTACCAAATTTGTGCACAATTTTTGAGAACACGTTTTCATTATTTTTGGTACAAATAGAGATAACGGCACTACATATTGGTTTAAAACAGCATATACAAGAATTCTGGAGCACCAGACAAATTAAATTCCACTTCTTCTACATTTATCATTTAAAGTGTGCCACAAACACTGTAAGTGCATACTGTGGGGCTGGATAAATAGAGAGCGAGCAGTAACACAGAAGCAGTTATGCCAGACAGCTCTATGCATGCTACATTTCTCTTTGTACTCAGGCTGACCCATGGTAACACTCTTATTATGTTTTACCACCACTGCATATCATAAAGTGACTGAAACTGCCAGTTTATCTTTAGGGAAAAAAGTAAAAAATAAGTTACAGTAACAGTAAAAATTACTGTTACTTCCAGAAAGGGAGAGATAGTAGTCAGCAAGGCACTGCAAAGAAGATCACATTACAGCTGCTTTCACTCAGCTTGCCTGGGGTAAAAGTCTTCATCTTTCATAGAAACAGCTTTATAACCTCCTGAACCCATAGAAGAAATCCCAATAAATAATAAAAAAACCACTCATAACTTCCATAAACAAATTAGAACTTGTTTGTTCACACTGAGAACAACCAGGATGACCTCTGATAGACATGACAGAGGCAATCCAAAAGAAAGATATGCTGAATTTCAGTGTTTTATTTCTAACTGAAGGCAAAGAAAGTATATCCTACCAGTTTATTTAACAGTAATCAAAATATTTTATTTTATAATGGCTTTACCAAATTCCAATTAGCAAAATATTTATAAGTTGTCTCCCAGTCATCAACAAACCACAAATTCTTGCATTTACTTGCAGTTCCAAACATCCTTATTTGAGGGGTCTGATTTTCAAAAGTACTGAGCTACCAAAACTTCCACTGGAGATGGCAAAAGCACATTTAGACCGGCTCTATGTGTCTAAAACTGATTATCTCAACCCTGTGGCACTAAAACCTATAGATACCTGTCAACTTCAGCTTTTCTCTCTAGATCTGTAATACCACACATCGTCACAAACTGCACAGGTAGCACCAGCGAAGCTCTGCAGAAGGCAGTTTCTACAAGTTATAGTACACTGGTCAGATGAAAAGATCTAATTCGTGGTGATGCACAGAAACACTTTGTTCCACTGTCGTCTTTTACTGCAGAAATAGAAAATTTTTTCCCTTTTTAAAACCTGTGACTAAACTAGTGTAGAATGTAGCATCTCTTGACTATAGGCTGTTGCTTTGCAGCCTAGAGAGGCATAAACCTACTCCCCTGGGGCACATATAGCACTGCTACAGACAAAAAAAGCACCTTTTTACCTTTTTTTTTTTTAAGGAATGACTTACGGTGAAGTAAATATGCAGAGCTGCTTACGGTGAACATCACGGAGGATTCGTATTACATTTGTCTTGACAAACGAGAAGGTTGAAGACAGCATGGTGTACACAAGCAGCAGCTTCCTGGGCTGCTCCCTTTAAAACAGGCTGCTCGGCTCCTTCATTGTATAAGGCATAAGCTGCTTCTGTATTATTTTAAGGGTATTCCCTCCCTTTCAGGTTACATGCTATTTCAGAAACATAATGAATAAGAATCCAACTGGAAGGTGAACATTTGGAGGGTCAGCCAGTATTCATTAAAGTCTAACTCTTTTTATAGCAATGGGCAGCGCTGCAAATATAGTTAATGGTCTTAAACTCATTTCCCATGTGCAAGAGGTAGCTGTTGAAATTCACACTTGGCAAAAACTTGTCAGAAATATCAATTGTAATATCCATTTTTATAATAAAAAGGTTTAAATTGGATAAGCCATAGAGGAATTCCACTGATTCAAAAATTAACTTCTGTTTAGTTTCACACAGTTAATACATATTTTAGCTAACATTATCTGATTATGACAATTTTACATGCAGTTATTTTATATTACAGAGTGAGGACTTTTGCATTAAAAAGATTATGTCCTTGTTACAGTTAATTGGTTTTAAAACCCAACTATAATTCTATAACAAGCCTTAAAGCATCATATTGTGGTTGCTGAGCAAAATTGCACCAACTTCAACAAAACATTTCACGTAAAAATTAAAAATGGTATTAGCACTACAGATGTGGTATCTGAATTAATGGATGCTATTCTAACACAGTCTGGTTTTCATTTTTTCTTTCATGAAATAGAACAGCATTACTAAGAATAAAAGAGCAAAGGATCTACGATGGGACTACACCACAAAAGCATACTGTGTCCTATCCTAATTACAAAGTTTTTATATGCTATGTTTAAGGCACAGGATGTATCAGAGGGAACTTTTAGTTCTAGTTTCACTGGGTGGAACGCACGCCCTAAACAGCGCTGGAGGCTGCTCACCGGTATGGCCACCTCCAGTGTCAACAGTAGCTCTAGCTGCACTATGGGGTTGGCAGGCACATGGACAACTTCATCCTCCATCAAAATCCATGAAGGCATTGGGAACATCGTGAATGTGTTTCAAAAATGCAGCTGTTAAGAATTTTCTGGAACAGCACAAATCTGTGCATAGGGACATGGGTTAGTGGTGGACTTGGCAGTGTTAGGTTTATGGTTGGACTCAATGATCTTAAAGGTCTTTTCCAACCTAAACGATTCTATGATTATACATCTTCCAGCTTTGGAATGGTGATTTTGGAATTTTCAGATGGAAAGTCAGATTTCAATTATGCTGCAAAATTAATAGGAAAACTTATTCCTGCAATCCCAATGCAGATAGATCTGTAAGAGTTAAGGATGCATAGTGAAGTCCTGCTCATCTACACATGAATTACAGTTTTGTGACTGATTCAGTAGGGTTCCAATTTGATTTCAATCTCCCCAATACATAAACAAACAACAAAACCCCCACAAACATAACTGTCAAACTAGAACGTTATATATACACATTCATATTCACTAATATAAAAGCAGATTTAAGAAATCTATTTAGGGTACTAGCTATGAAAGAATAATTTTTCAAAATGCCTGCAACTAGCTAAGCGATGGCCATACATAAGCTTATCCTCCATAATTAGTTAGATAAAAGTGTAAGCACACACCAAAAAAAAAAAAAAGGAGGAAAAAATCAAAGGATGGGGGAAGGAGAAGAAAGAAAACTTGCTCCAGGGAAGAAGCAACTGTTCTCTGATGTGCAGCAAAGAATTTAACATCAAAGAACTAATGTAAATGGGGCCCATTTACCTTAAAAAACAACACACCACTCCACATTCTGGAATATTTCTATTTAAGTTTGACAGCATTATGCTTTGTACCAAAATTCAAGATTGTGTAATTTGACAGATGTCAAAAGAAAATGACCTTCAGAATGGCTAACTGTTGCAATTTTTGTTTTTAAGTATGTTAAAACACTCTGTACAGTATCTGTTTAAACTTCAGAGGTTAGCAGATCACCTTTTAAGTTCATCTGATTGTACACAAAAAATTTCATTTTGATCTCAAAGCCTGCAACATGTATTTTCCTCATGTGCCTCTAATACCGACAGTGGGTGACCTCCTGTGCCAATACTCTTGCTCTTTCTACTGCTCTCCCCACCAATTAGATACAAATGGAAAGCTGAATCTCTGTGTAACAGTGAAAATAGCATACCTGTTCAAGTATGTAACTTGAGCCACCCAAAAGACCATTAAAAATAGTTCAATATCCAAAATGATGTTAACAGAATAATTAGTCAAGTACCAAATGACTTCAAGGGTTTTGAAAATGAATGATAGAAATCCCAAAATCCTATTAATACTCTATTTTACATTCTACTTTTGTAGGTCTATAATTTATTTTTTTTTCTTTTCTTTAAACATACATCTTTAGGAGAAAAAAACCCTCTCATTCATGTGCTAAGTACTTTTCATTAGGAAAAAAACAAGAATGAATAGAAATGAATTTGAAACTACCTGTTTGGAGAATTGCCTTTCTGCAGTATATTGCAATTCTGGGCTTAACGGGGGCCTACTGAAAAACTGCTTGTGCAATTTGTGTCTCAGAAAAGTCTGATATCCAGTCTTTTCATTTAAACCAACAGTATATTTCTAATAGTTTGGAAATTATGTAGAGAAATTAAATACAGACATCTAACTCTTCCAAAAATTCTTCGAGACTCCAACTGCGTGGTGTCTGATGACAAAGTTATACCATCCTCACACTAGTAGGCAATTAGTAGCTTCATCTAAATGGACTTACTGAGCATCTAAGTATTTCCCAGCATCACTAATACTGATTTCTATTCAATATTGCAGTGAACCTGGCACCTTATTTAAAACCAACTGCACAATTTGGCCTAAAATACAAGCCTCGTATACAATACAAAGTTTTAAAACCAGATTAATAGTCTAGGTTTGCCATATGAAGTTGTTCAATACCTTAACTATACTTTATACAAGATAGTACTGATACACACATCAGGCATTTAAATGACAGACGGCGAATTATAGTTTAATCTGAATATGTACTGTGACATTTTGCCAAAACAGTTCGGAGGCAGGTGGCTTTTACATTACAGCACAATTCCTTTTCGCTCAACACTCAAATAAGATGAACTGAGTAAGCCTAATGAAGATGTTGAGACTGCAACACTCTCCACATTCGGGTACTGAAGCCTAGTTTTCGCGCAGCTACGTGCCTAAATCTGGTACGGCACAAATACATTCCTGGATTATGTTTTTTATTATTTCCTGGTTTTCTTCTGCTCTGTCCAACTAATTAAGATGGTTATTTGAAGTGGATTTAAGACATTATATCAAAAGTGGTGGCATTTTCTCTTCTAGAGCCTTAACAAATAAAACATCCACCTAATGGGAATTATTTGAGCTTTTACAAGCTGCCTTTATTCATCAGAAAAACTGGGCACCTCTGCTACACAGGCACCTCACTTGCTCATGTGCACTCTGTCTCTCTCTCCCACTCTAATATAAAGAAGTTTACAGAATAGCTGGTATCACTCAGGCCCAGATGTTTTTGGTACCCAAACAGCTGACAGCCAGTAAAATCACGAAGGGATAGGCTGCTAAACATCTTTGAAGATGCAAGTCAAAGCTAAAGTTTCCTCCACAAATAGAAGGCAACAGTACCAAGATGTGACACTGATCCGTGATTTGACTCAGCTAAAGACTACTTAACATGAGCTTTACAACACACGATTCTTTCAGAAATTGGAGATGTCCGAGAGCCATGCACTTTATCATTATATATCAGCTACGTTTACATGCCTTGACTTCTGCCAAGGAGAGAGTATAAGGTTCCTGAAAGGACTATAAAGGGATAAGAATTGCAATTTTGATTTTTTTGGATTCTCCATTGCTGTTTTAAGTTGAATTTTGTGGCAATAACAAGCAAGCGTTAAGACGACAATGACTAGAAAAAATCCTACGTATGTATCATTTTGAGGTAGAACCTTTTTTTATTAAATAGAAGGAAAACTGGAAACAAAAGGACAGACTCAGTATTACTAAGTTAACTCGGGATTACTAAGTTATATCATTAGATGAGAGCCCAACAAAAGTTAAGCTTCTCCAGTTGGAAAGACAAACATTGAAAATACAACAAAATCCCCTAGCAAATCTATGATCTGAAGTAATCAGTGTTCCTTAGCAAGATTATGCGGGATTACTTTTTGTAGTTTTAAACACAACAAAGCTTCCCAAAAAGAACGACAACTTCACGGAGCCAGAAAGCATTACTGTACCCATGACTAACTATGCGCAAGTCCAGCAAAGTCCCAATTAAAAAGAGAATGGGATATATTGCTCAATCATGAAAGCAATTAAAAACATAAATAAGACATTGCGAGACTCTTAACATTCCCAATGTTTAATTATTTATCCGTTCTCCATCCTGCAGCTGTAGGTCAGAATTAACTCCTCTGAACTAAATACAGGAGAACTCTTTTGGGGATTTGTACCTTATTCATTTTCAAGCAAACACCCAAATTCATTTCAAATTCACACAAGAACTGCAACAGTTTCACCTAAATCAGATTTTCTACAAGTTAAACACCCCTCCTACACTCAGATGTGATTGTGAAACTACTTTGATCTCTGTTCCCAAATTTATTGCTCTGTGTAATCCATGACAAAATATAATGTGATTTACTGTATCTCTATATGACAGCCCAGCAGCTGACAGAACTTAATAATTTAGCATAAGAAAAAAACCTTCCGGCACCAAAATATACAAATCATAATTGAGGCACTTTAGTATCACATTACAATGAAGCATATGCAGACCGATCATAAGAACTTCAAAACAATTAGAATTCTTTCTCACCCATTTAATGAAGGTGGGTTTACTCTGTGACATGTTCTGCAGCTGTAAGCAAGTCCTTTTGGAACACTTTTGTTTCTTCACGTTAAAGACTCTGAAGGACTAAAACATCGTTTTACCCCTTCCCTATTTCCCAAACACTCCTTCCCCTCCAAAAAGAAGGAAAAAAAAAAAGCCACCTGCAGCTTTTCTCTATTATAAAGATATGAAGAAAGAGCAAATAAGTGTAAACAATGTCTTCAAATGTCTTCAAATTGTGCCAGAACTTCAATATGCAATAAAGATGTTTTCTATTAGTTTGGTCTTGATAACCGAGTATTTTTCTAAATAAAGCTATAGCAAAAAATTCAGATATCCAAATATTGGCCTAAGCAGGGATGTGACGGACATGTTCCACGGGGCAGCTTTTGCTTTGGTTTGTGCTGACTCTCCGGTTTGGGAGCCGTGAGAAAGTCTTTGTGCAAGGGATGCATTACCCCAGAAACTTGCAAGAAAAGTAAGAACGTGGAGCTCACGGCATGGGATGCAGGAGAAATTTCCAGTTAGTACTTACTAATTCCAGGTAACAAACACCAGTTACTGCTGTTTGCCTAAACAAAACCACAGATGAGCCCCAGTGAAATCAGCAGTGATCGTTGCAGGTACCGGGACCCAGTAACAAGGCATCGGCTGTAGGGTCTGTCCTCTCCCCCCTGGCTAGGCACCCAGACCAGATGGTATTCATTCAATAATTCTGAAAGAATCTAAGAATGAATTGGTCAAGTTGTTTAAAAAAAAAAAGTGAGTAATCTCACATTACAGTCAGCTACCATACTGGAAAATATCCAACGTTTTTCCTAATGTTACAGTGTACCCTGGGATGTAAAGATAAGTAAAATTGGTAAATTAGAGAAAACTGTACCTACGTGCTATCAGCCTTCTCCAAGACACATAGTATTGTTGAAAAAAAGGAGAGAATGAGGTAATGATTTAAATGGGCTTTAAAAATATTTAATAAAGTTAAAATAATAAGCAATTGTGTATTACAAGATAAAGTTGGTGTGTTATAGTTTGTTTGGATAGTGAAGAAAGGTTCAGGAAACCATTGAAAAATAATTAGAACAGTCATTCTGCCACTGGAAAAGTTAAGATGGAAACATCAGTTGTACTAAAAACATGAGGTATGTCCTCCAGAGTCAGGCTCATGGGCCAC